TGCTGGAAATGCAGAGCACTATACTAAAAGTGCTGTGCTGCAGAACATGCTTCTGTCTGTTGTACACGTTAAGAGACTTCTTACTGCATCCTTGCCTTTCAGAGGTTTAAAATTTTAATTCATGCCTGGCCTGTAATATCAATTGTTTGGTCAATGTTTCAGATGAACTTGAAGAAATGTTGAATCCCATGGGAACCGTCCAGACTAACCCTTACACTGAAAATGCAACAGCTTTGCACATTAGATTTCAGGAATATTCCAAACAGCCTATAAATTACCCTCCCTTTGATAAGGTAAGCTATGACCTAAAGATAAGTCATGAAAGTTTGTGTAAATAGCTGTTACTTCTTTCCTTTCAACACTGCCTTTTCCAGTGAATTCCCCTCTTCCTGCCCTTTAGTCAACACACTGCAGTTTTTTAGACTTGCACTCTGTGAGTGGCACTGCTCTCACTTCAGGGTCTATTTTGAAGTTTATACTCTTAAAAATGGTCTGTATATAGTCTTTTGAGGGTCAAAAGCATAATCAGTTTCCCGTATGTATGATTTAACAAAAAGCTAAATTTATCTGCTAACCTTCAAACTGTGTTTGCCTGTGATCTGTAAAGACCTGTTCTTTCTTTGTACAAATGTATGTTACCCACTCCTTGGGACACTGCTTTATGAGCTCAAGTCCTCTAAAGGATAAATAGACTCTTAATACTGTGTGAAAAGGGACTTCTGAAGGTCTGCTCTTGAACTAAATCCACTGAAGTTGCCCTGCAGTTTCCCACAGATGTGAATATCTGTCTAGAAAGGAAGTGTATATTTGGAATACATATGGTACTTCTGGAGGGTGAATGCTAGATAGAAAGTTGTTCACAAACTAGCAAATAAAGCTAAGACAAGTAATAAAATAAGTCTAAAACCAGACAGCTAATGATGTTCTATAAAAACAACGTTTGACTTATACATATACATTAGTCTGAATTTTGGTTTTGGGGAAGTCAATAACCACTTAGAAAAAAAGGCTTTTTGCACCTTTTGGGGGGCATGAAGAAAAAGACTGAAACCACCAAACTCAATCAGCTTGATCAAAGGGGGATTTGGGGTTTAAGGCTCATCAAAATGAAATCAAGTAACAAGAAAGATTTTTTTGTTTTGATTTTGAGTTGATTTCCCCCCCCCCGTCCTTGTCAGTACTTCTTTTATGAAAACATCATTGGAAATGCAGTGAGAACTAAGCCAGTGCTGACTAATTGCTGCCTTATTTATGGCTGACCAGTTGACTTCATAGTGGACATATTTTAGTCAGCTTTGATATTGGTTTATTTGTAGTACTTTAAGTTTTTTGCTCATTACACTATATGTATTTAATTTCTGAAGAGAAAAAACCTGCTTTGATGTGCATATTACAGAGAGGTTAGATAAAAGTGTATTTCTTTAGTAATCACATATAGTGAGATACTCAGTGTGGTGATGTTAAGATGATGTCTAAGGGGCTTCCCCATCCCATGCAACTCAACTTCAGGTGAAGGTTCTGTTGAATCAGGAGTAACGTTGTAGCTGCTTGGGTTATATCAGCCAAGAGTCTGTTTCTCAAAATGGTCTTAGCTGAGACTTGCTTGCTGCTTCTAATTTTCCCAGTGTTATTGCTTGCTTTTGCCAAGAAGATGGAGAGTTGGGTGCCACATATTTATTCTAGGAAACATAATGTGCAAAACTGTTCAATCATGTCATCAACCTGCCTGCACAGTGAGTTTGGGGCTGAGGGAGCAGAAGTGCCTGGACCATTGATAAGAAGCTGTTGTGTGAGGCAAGAGCTGGTTAATGACCAGTGCTGCTGGCACACTTGGGGTTCACTTGAACAAAGCTGGACTTGCAAAGACTTTCAAAGTTTATTTGCAGACTGGGAAGCACGGGGGGGCAAGCATCAAACACGGAATTAGGACATTGTGGTTTTGTTTATGCATGTTTTCGCACACAGTATGTAAACAAGCTTTGTGGCTGAGTAGCAGATGTAATACACGATATTAATAAGAGGTTCATACAGAGAAAGAAGAAATAAAACAAGTTAGTATACCTTTTGAAGGGATTTAGCTGCTGGGTATTTATGCTCTGATTATTGTAGTCTTTTGTTGTTTCTCACATTGCCTGAGTGAAGATAGCACAAGTCTTGCTGAACCTGTGTCTGGGGATGCTGTTGTAATCCTGGGTGATGGGAGAGGCAGAGCTCTGAGGGAAAGGAGATGGTGTGATTCTTTAGACATTTTTCTTAACTGAGATTTCTTATGATTCATTCCTCAAAGCAGCAGCATCTGACAACTGTAGACAGACATACCTACAGTTAGGTTAGAGAGCCAACTGGACCAGTTCACCTGGTCTAATTGGCTCAGGCAGTCACCATCCTAACACCTGTCCAGGGTTGCAGGAGTGTGCAGAACACTGTTTGAAGAACTGTATTTACAGCTACACTTAATTATCATCGTGGTTTATTACATGAACTTCAGAAACCAGATAGAACGTTCAAAAGGCCAAAAACATTAAAAAGAGAAACTCAGAGCTGAGCTTTTGGGGAAATGTTGCTTTGCTGTTAACAAAGGTAGCAGTCCTTGTTCTGAGGGTTGCTGTGTAATAGCTGGTGCTGAGAGTTTGTGGGTGGAATATTCGCTGTATTGTTACAGGAGTTCTTGTTGGGAGATGGTTTGTCCTGGTGTTACGTGGGGGAAGACCTCAGTTATGGGGGGGGAAGTACCTGGAAACACTAACTGAGGTCATGTGGGCAATCTGAGAAGGTGGTGAAGGGACTGAGACTGTGAACTCATACTGGAATGGAGATCTAGAAGTATGGATCTGGGGGTGTGGAAACAGTGCCCTTGAAAACAGCAGAAGTAGAGATGAGAAAGCAAAGGGTAATTTAGAGCTGAGGAATTGGTTTGCTGCACTGAAAAATGAGGAAATGCAAACAGAAATGGAAAACAAGGTGCCATCAGAAAGACTGTTTAGCTCAGTAGTGCTGAAGAAGAAAAAAACGGAGGTAATCATGAGCACTGCTATTCCTGATCTCCCTAGTCCTGCAGATTAGAAAAGGAGCACACCATATTGTACCACTGTATAGACAAAAGAATAGTGTTGAAACTATATAAAAGATAGCAAAATTTCCTTATCTACTTCATTTCCATAATGTTTATTCTTTCCATGCAATCAGATTTGGGTTTAAATCTAATGCATTTAAAAACAACTTTTTGCAGATACTTGAAAAGGCAGCTGAGATTGCAAGAAACAGTGACAATGCTGCAATGGCGGTGAGCATCATCTAAAGACTATTTTAAAATTAATTTTCTGGGGGTTTTTGGCTCTGGAAATAAAGAAGTCTACAGCTTAATAAGAGTTTACTGGCTCTGTTTTTGTATATAATTCACTTGATGAACTGCCTTAAAATTCATGTATATATCTGCTTTTTCCAATATATTTTGGACTTGGCTATATTTTGTTAAAAAGCTTTGCATACTCTATGGGTTTGGAACACAGCTAAGATTTACATTAGATGTGGAAAACAAGTTAAGATTAGAAGATAAAAATATGTGTTTGACTACTTGGCAAATATACTTTCTTTTGGTTATTATTGGAAAAGTGGTTGTGTTTTTTTTTTTTTGCTTTTAATTAAAAGAAATATATATACATGTATCTATTAAATTTCATCATTTGAAAAACAAAAGAAGAAATATGCATCCTAATGAAAATTCTCCATGTTGGAGTTGGAAAACAGAAATATTGCCATCTAGTGTCATTAACTCTAAAGTTTAGTTGCTTTTTTAGAAACTGCTGCACACTGAATTTGAAATCTGTTAGTTGCAGTGCTTACAGCTTAAGAAATCTGAACGAAAGACACATTAGTCACTCCCCTGTGTTCCATGAGTTTTATCTGACGTTCCTCCTGCTGTGGGATTGCTGATATTTGAGCTAATGTATAAGAATCTTACTGAATTTATCACAACATTGTACCTTTCTCATTTTCTAGGGTCGAGGTGGTAAGAAGTTTTATGTTGTGCTAAAAGAAATAATGGAAAGAGATCCTTTATCTCAGCTTTGTGAAAATGAAATGGATCTCATTTGGACTTTGCGATATGACTGTCGTGAAAATTTCCCACAATCATTGCCCAAACTGCTGCTCTCTTTAAAATGGAACAAACTTGAAGATGTTGCTCAGGTAAGGGAAAAGACAACGATGGTGGGGAAAAATGCTGGAGTCAAATCATCAGTAAATAAGATTTCATTCCATTTTGAAATGTTTCTGTGTGTACCTTCCCATGGCCTGGACATGTAAGGAAGAACGCTGAAAAAAAAATATCCAACAAACGAAAACCAAACCACAAAATGCATTTCAGAAGTCACAGAATTATGGAATCAACCGGGTTGGAAAAGACCTCTGAGATCATCAAGTCCATCTCTTTATCCAACCCCACCATGGTTCCCAGACCATGGCACTGATGCCACAACCAGTCTCACCTTCAACACCTCCAGGGATGGTGACTCCACTCCCTCCCTGGGCAGCCCATTCCAGTGGCTGATTACTTTCTCTGTAAAAAATTTCTTCCTAATATTCAACCTAAACCTCCCCTGAGAGAGCTGAAGACCCAGCCCTCTTGTCCTACTGCTGGTTCCTGGGAGAAGAGAACAACCCCCTTCTGGCTACAACCTCCTGTCAGGGAGTTGTAGAGAGTGAGGAGGTCTCCCCTGAGCCTCCTCTTCTCCAGGCTGAACAGCCCCAGCTCCCTCAGCCTCTCCTCACAGCACTTGTGCTCCAGGCCCTTCCCCAGCCTTGTTGCACTTCTCTGGACCTGCTCCAGCACCTCCATGTCCTTCCTGAACTAAGGGGCCCAGAACTGGACACAGCACTTGAGGTGTGGCCTCACCAACACTGAGTACAGGGGAAGAATCACTTCCCTGGACCTGTTGGCCACACTGTTTCTGATACAGGCCAGGATCCATTGGCCTTCTTGGCCACCTGGGCACACTCTGGCTCCTGTTCAGCTTCCTGTCAATCCAAATTCCCAGCTCCCTTCCTGCCTGGCTGCTCTCCAGCCACTCTGTCCCCAGCCTGTAGAGCTGCAGGGGGTTGTTGTGGCCAAAGTGCAGGACCTGGCCCTTGGCCTGATTGAACCTCATCCCCTTGGAATCAGCCCAACTCTCCAGTTTGTCCAGGTCCCTCTGCAGAGCCCTCCTGCCTTCCAGCAGGTTGATACTCCCCCCCAGCTTGGTGTCATCTGCGAATTTGCTAATGATGGACTCAATCCCCTCATCCAGATCATCAATAAAGACATTAAACAGAACTGGGCCCAACACTGATCCCTGGGGGACACCAGTAGTGACTGGATCTCAGCTGGATGCAGCCCCATTCACCACCACTCTCTGGGCCAGTTCCTAACCCAGCACAGGGTGCCCCTGTCCAAGCCATGGGCTGCAGCTTTTTCACAAGTATGCTGTGGGAGATGGTGTCAAAGGCCTTGCTGAAGTCCAGGTAGATACATCCACAGCCTTCCCCTCATCCACCAGGCAGGTCACCTGATCATTTGCCGACTTCCAATCATCTGGGCCCTCCCCAGTGAGCCAGGACTGTTGGTAGATGATGGAGAGCGGCTTGGTGAGCTCTTCCGCCAGCTCCCCCATCACCCTTGGGTGGATCCCATCTGGTCCCATAGACTTGTGAGGATCCATTGGCTCTGCAGGTCACTGTTTCCTCCTGGATTACTGTTCCCTCCTGTTCGGCTTCTTATCTCTGTCTACCAGCTCCACAGGCCAGTTGTCCTGAGGACAACCTGTCTTACTGTCGAAAACTGAGGCAAAGAAGCTGTTAAGTACCTGAGCCTTTTCCTCACCTTTGGTGACTGTGTTCCCCCCCAGGCCCAACAAAGAATGGAGGTTTTCCTTGCCCCTCCTGGGTGAACCCGGATGTTGTTTTGGTCACCTGCTTATCCTGACAGAATTCATATTTAAATAACACTCAACTTCTTGCAGACCATTACACTGTGATATTTATCTCTTTCCATGAATCTCATTTTTTAAATTTGAAACTAATTTTTTTTCATTTCTTTAAATAACTTTAGAGCTAAGAAGCATTTTCTGTGAAGGATTATGATTGATAGTATAGATTTCTATTGTGCCTTAGTATTCTGACCTTCACCTGTTACAAGCTCAGTGTTCTGGGAAGAAAAGGAAGCCACTCCATGAAAAGATCTTCTATTTCTGTAATTTTTGTGATTATCTAGTCAGTCAGAATCTTAGCTCGCCTCCAGCATGGAGCTTATCTTCTGTTACATCCTTTCTACCACATAGATGTATATGTTGTGTGAACTTCTAAAAATAAATGGAATTTCATCCTAGCTAATTGTCTGTGCCATGGACACTACATTAACAGAATGGAGTACTCACACATTTCTTGCTCACTAGTGTTCTTCTGTGTGCAAGAATCCTCATTCCTTAGTAATTCCATTGTGCTTCTGAATTTATTGTTCATTATTAGAAGTTATCTGGAAATACAAAGTGTAGAAATATAAGCAGGTACTTGTTTGCTCATTCAAATATGTGAGGAAAAAGGCCTTCTGATTGCTGTGGGCTTTGAAATGTGGCCCTTGGTAGCAGTTTTGAAAAGTTATTTGGAGTATGGATATCAGCTGACAGCTCAAAGTCCTTTACTTTTGGGAATATTAAATATTATAGATGTATAAATCATTTATTTAAGCAGATGGCTGAAAATATGTGGTCATCTTGTTACTGTGTACTTTCTGGAAGGAATGTAGTATTTATGTTTGTTTATGTATAGGCAATAGTGCAGTTTATAGTGTAATATTGGTTTTGGCAGCAAGGGTGGTCTATCTGAAAAATGAGATCTTATCCTTAAACATGCCAAATATTTCTGTAGTACACAGACATGTAAGTACTCCCAACAACTTACCTTTTCAGGTAAGGCAAGACAGCCTCCTGAATTTTATGAGTTCCAAAATTAGCAGGACTCATAATTTACTTCTCATTAAAATTAAACATTTATAGTAGTAGCTGTAGATTGCAGTGTTTGTACGGCTACACCGTGCGTGCTGTTGTACTGGAAGTTTTTTTAATGTTCATTTTTGGATGTATTTCAGTAAAAGTCTTGACACTTAAGGCAGAAAGTTTTAAAAAACTAAACGCAACAAAATACAAAAAAAAAAAACCAAAAAAACAAACAAAAAAACCCAAAACCAAAACCACCAAAAAAAACCAAAACCACCAAAAAGCCCCAAGAAACAAAACCCAAAAAATGGAGTATTGTATTTGATTGTAGACCATCTTTATTCTGTTAGCTCAGTGGTCCATGGAGTTATGTCTAATGGATTAAAGCAGCTTTGTTGAATTATTTACCATATAGATCTCATCCAAGTTCTTATTGGATTGCGGTATTTTAATGAAATGATTGCACTGAAGGAATTCTGAAGGTGCTTACCCTCACTGCTGCCATAACCCCCTCACTCAGCAGAGTAGCAAGATGGCAGAACTTGTTAGCAGAATTCACAAGGCACTATTTATTCTCAAAGCAGATTTCAACCATTATTTAAAAAAATCCCCTTATTTTCAGCGAAGTGACACCATCCATAGTGAGAACTAGAGAAAAGACAGCTGATTTCTGAAATATGTGAAATAACTGGAATAAAAATAATGGCCTGTGCTTAACTGTACTGTCTTTTACAGTGAACTTGCCTTGTTAGAAAGAAATTGTGGTTATTTCTTTATAGAAAAAAATATTGATACCCCAAGGCCAAATCTGAGATTTCTCTGAAACTCTCAATTGTTGCTGGGAATTGCAGTTCCTTGTCTTCTTCTGGCTCGTCAGGAGCTGCAAACCATGCGAGAGAATTAGGTGGTGTCTCATGTGTGCAACATTTTACCATGTCTCATATTGCAGAGAAATTTTTAGAACTCAGAACATGTTTTGAAATGTGAAATTTCTTTACAAATTTCTTTACTTGGAAGCTGTCCAGTTACTGCTCTGCTGCCAAAGCAGGTGAGGGCATTCCGTGGTGCATGTTTTCTTTTGTCCAAATGCAACAAGTGCTTGCATCTCCTCTCACCTGCACTTTGGAGCAGCACAGCTGAATGTGGAGCTGGTTGGGCTGCACTTCTCTCTTACTAAAGTTCCAAGGCATGTGAGCAGAGCCGTAGGTGTTTGGGAAACTCTCTTGGGTTTGTCATAGGTTATTTAGATCTTGCTCCCTCTCAGCTCATATACCTTAACATTTTCTCGTTATAACAACAATAATTTAAGTAAAGGGAGGAGATCTGTACTTTCAAATAACCTTCACAGTAAATGTACACTCTGTAGAGCGTGACTTTCACAATTCATTGCCTGATACATGAGGCATGCAGGGCCACTTGGGCTCAGCAGACTATTTCAGGTTTTCTGTTCAATTCAATCATTCAGTATTAACAAAGTATTTCTATATTCTTGTCAGTTCTGCACCTGGTTTAAAGTAGGTTGTCTAGAAATTCTGATAACTTGCAGAGTTTCTTACTGCATGTTCATAGCTGCTGCTTGCATTTCCAACATCTGTCTTGTGTATTAAGTATCTGATCGATGTTAGTGTTAGAGTTTCAGTGCTGTGTGACTGTTGATGGCTGCAGTCCTCAGCATCAGGACTGGCATTGTTACCCCTTGTTGGGCTCTGGATTGAATAGATTTTTGAGTGTATTTTTCTGTGGGAATACGACATCTATGTTTAAAAACACCTTTAGTTTAATTTTATATCAGTATGAATCGTGCAGGTGTTCATACCAGTAGTTGCCCATGAAAACGGTTTGGTTGATCCTTTCCTCCATTCTGGAGCTGCAGTCTGGCCACTGGCTTTGCACTGTTAATGATCTCTACCCGTTTCTTGTCCTCTGAATTTCACAAAACTGGCCCCATGGTGTTTAACCAGTGTTATGAACACACCTGTTAAGTGTCAGCTGAGACTATGAGCTCAAATGTGTTTGTCATATTTGAACTGGAAGCATTAGTTGATATGTGACATATATTAGAAACAGGGAATTTTCGCTGTTGTTTTGAAATTGTTACTAAATCAGAAAGAAAACAAGATCTTAATAGTTCAGATTTTATAAGTTGCTATTTAAATATGAAATAATATGTATTATCTAATTTGTAGGAGAGGGTATTTTTATTACGAATTATGAGACTCGTTCCTACAGAAAGAAAAATCTTGTGCTGTTGACACACTGCATTTATATATTCAGGTTGTTTATTTTGAGTAATAGTGAATTGTTTCAGTCATACAACTATATACATATTATTAAAAATACACTTTCAGTGGGGAGTTTCATTACAGTGCAATAAAACCAGTTTATTTTATGAGACTTCTGGATGTTCTTGGTTGTCCAAAATGATGCACTAGTGTATTCTGTAATGTTTTCCAGCACATTATATTGCATAGGGGTTTTTTTTAAAAATATCTAAGCTGAATCATGCTTTTCACAATTTCAGCTTATTACTATTCACAATGAATGTGTGAAAAAGCTCCATCAGTTGAGGTGGTCAGATAATCTTGGTAAAGATTTCTTTCAACAAAAAACTACCTTTTTTTTTTTTCTAGTAGAAAACTTTTGCCATTACCGAAGTTGTTATATATTTATGAGAACATTTACAAAACTTTATCTAATTTTTATTGACAATGTTTCTTAAACATACTTACATAGGGTTACCTAATTTTTGTTTATTGTGCATTGTGTCTACGTGTGAAGAAACAGGTTTTGCAGACTAAAAATAATCTGGATCATTTTAAGGAGTAAGAAACTGAATCAGAAGTGGGCTCGTTTACCCCAAATTGTTTCTCTCCTTTCCACCAAACCCCCATAGTGGTTGGTAACCATCTTCTGTTGGTATGAATACTTCTATGGGCAGTTATACCCATCTGTGTTCTTAAATAGTTCCTTTGCCTGTAACCTAACAGTCTTCTTTTTAAAACAGCTTCAGGCTCTCCTTCAGATCTGGCCCAAGCTGCTGCCCAGAGAAGCTTTGGAGCTGTTGGATTTCAATTACCCAGATCAGTATGTCAGGGAATATGCAGTGGGTTGTTTAAAGCAGATGAGGTGAGTATGTTGTATTACTTTACCATCTGAGGATTTCTGGGGTGGAAAACTGCATCCAGTTTGTTTACAGGAAAAAAAACAAACCGGAGAGGAAAGAGTTAGACACTCTGCCTACCATGAATAGGTGGCCAAATAAAGCAGTCAAATTTCTAGATAGGGACATTGGCAGGCAAATAAAACCTTTTTATTCTGGCATCTCATAGTCAACAGTGATTATTTTCCATGTTGCAAAGTGTACCTTTGTCCAAGAAAGGGACAAACACACACAACCCTCTCTGGGACAAAGGGAGAGCGAGATACTGTGAGAACTTTTTTAAAACAAAGGGAGAAATATTACAGTAGTCAAATCCTGTGAGACCTAATGTGCAACCACCTCACACTCTGTGTCAGGGATTGGCTGCATCACAAAATAGGAACGTAAGCTGTAGCATATAATAAATAATGAGAGAATTACTGATGTGTTTGTTCTTCACAGGAGCCTTCTCTCTCTGCAGTTCTTCCTTTATTGCTTTTCATTCTGCTCGCCACTGTAACCTAGGGCAAGACTTGTGTAACATTATCACTACTGCATATTTCCTGTCCTTGAATTCTGAATTCTCTGTGGTGAATAGTTTAATGATTAATTTTTTAACGGTCAAGGCTAGACTTTTGGGGTAAGAAAAAATAAATTATCTGGGCTTCTTTCAAATGTGAACAAGCAGTTTTAGCTGCCCAGCTATCCTAATAATACCAGATTGTTATGTCTGGAATTATTTCCATCTGGCAGTTGCACTAAGATGTGTATTATCCTTCTCCATGTGATTGAAAAATTGGGGAATGCTCTTGCTATTGAAACAAACCTGTTATTGTTGGATTTTTCATATGCATCTGAATTTCTGGAGTATCATTAATCTAGTTACTCTTACTAACTGCCTTGATGTATCTCATTCTAGTGATGAAGAGCTCTCTCAGTATCTTCTCCAACTTGTGCAAGTCCTGAAGTATGAGCCCTTTCTGGATTGTGCACTCTCCAGGTTTCTCTTGGAAAGAGCACTTGCCAATAGGCGAATAGGACAGATGTTGTTCTGGCATCTAAGGTAGGAGTTCTTCCCTTTTGTCTTTCTGAAATTGCTGAGCCTGATTGGACTTTCAAATTTGATTTCTTGAGGATTTTGCTAAATGAGCCATTTTCATAGTATTCTGTAAGTCCTCTTTATGTTTCTTTATCTTTGGCATTTAGAGATCAGAGCAAGTCTATCATTAAATAAAGTGATTTGTAATCTACCACATGATGAAAGAATTGCAATAGAATAAAAGTAGTTTTTGTGTGTCATTTCTACTTTTGATGAGCAGTTTCACGAATGGCAGAAGCCTTGCAGAATGGACTATAGGTTTATTCTGGCTTCAAAGCACATTTTATTTTAATATTTCTAACTAAAAAGAGGAAGTACTACATGAAAATGTTTTGGGGGATAATTAACTCTGGTATAAAGTTCAATGGTTTGATTCAATGTGTTCCCCTTTGGACAAATTTGGGCTTTTCCCTTACAAAGATTTGGGAGCACGTGGTTTAACATCAGCTCTGATTGTCAGGATCATCTTCTGTGACTTCTCAGTACTGCTCTGAGTAAAAGGGGGTCCTGAAACAGGTATTCAGTTGCTACTTCTAAACATTAACACCACTGCCTCCAGAGCAGTCCTGGACCTTGCAACAAGTGGCATGTATCAAACCTAGCCTGTCTTCATAGTCTTCAGCACAGAAGTGTTCTGCTATTTCTTAAGAATTCTGGCTTTTTGTTTTATCTACATGTCCATGATGTGGTTTTATATTTGATTTGGGGTTTTGTAATGACTGGAAGAACACAGATCTGTAAGTGCCATGGTCTGACAAGAAGCCTTTCTCCTCCCAGGTCAGAGGTTCACATCCCTGCTGTCTCAGTGCAGTTTGGTTTGATTCTGGAAGCTTACTGCAGAGGAAGTGTTGCTCACATGAAAGTGCTTGCTAAACAGGTATGGGCTCCCCTTCTCCTGGCAGGCTTGACTTCTCTGAGCTTGTAACTGATACTCATTCCATTGTTCCTGTGGGGCATATTGGTTACCTTGACAAAGTCCATCTGCTGGGAATGGGGGAGAGAAGGGAGCATGTGTGACACAGAGAATTAAAAGGGCTAAATGGATGATGGAGCTGCCTCCCTGGTACAGAGGGCAGCCAGTGCTGTGGGGCCTCAGAGGTAGTGAGCTGGTTTTATAGATGTGAGAGGTACCTCCAGCAGCGTGGATGTATTCCAGGTACAGCAGCAGACTCTGTGGATTGTGAACTGAAGAAGGCCTTCTGTGCACTTGACCTTTCTCCCTCAGTAAAGGCAGCTTGTTCTAAATTTTACTTAGATGACTCCAAGACTACTTCCTGCAGCTTTGGCTTTTGTTAAAGTGTGATGCAAAACCCCTTGAAGTTGTAGTATAGTGTAGTGCTCCCTGGAAATAGAGGTGTTGAAGTAACCCAAATACTCATTTTAGTGTTAATATAGATGTGCTATTTCCAGAGGGAAAAAGAAAGAAAAAAAAGGAGAGAGATGTGTTTGCTTTTAAATGCCCTAAAAAGCATGAGAGGTTTGCTTTTAAAAACACTAATAAGTCTATCAGCAGATCATTAAGAGACACTCACAAATCATGTTTGAAGTCTCTAATGCAGTTTTAGTGAGTTAATTTAGATTGTGACCATAAAAATATTTGAAACATGATCTCCCTTGGAGTTAATGTATTTGCTGTATCAGATCACAAAGACTCACTCAGTGTATGACTGACTGGTGAGTGGCATTTGTCTGCATTAAAACTATCCTTTGGGAGGCATATGGAACAGGAATGCTCTGCTGTGCTCTTTATTGCTGCAGCTCACAGGGCATGGAAGAGACCATCTCTTACATATATGTGCTTGTTAGCATTGTCAGAATCATAAAAAGATTAGGTAGTGAAATGCTTTAAGCAATAGATGTAAGGTCAGTAAAGTTTTTGTGCACTTTACAGGAAGCAAATGTCAGTACAATCAAAGAAAGGGCAAAAAAATTCCCAACTGTACAAACACGGAAGAAATTCAAAGTAGAAATACTTCAAAAAGTTCCTGTTTGTACAACACAGGTTCCATTTTGTTCCCCTGTCACTGATGTTTGTACAGCTCCTAGAATAGTGGAAAAGCAGAGGGCTTTTGGTTTTGACAGATGGCTGACCTGGCAGGTCTCCACTGCCCAGTTTTATAATCAAACTGCATACAATTTCCACAGCATCCTGCCTGACAGGGTTCAGTCTGTGGGAGGGGTAAGTTTTGACTCAGCACCTTGTAAGTTAGACTGAAGCTTCCTTGTATAGAAATCAGCTTTCATAATTATTACCCTGGTGCTGTTTGCTGGAGAATCTCTGTATTGCTGAGCACGTTAACTGTGGCTGGTGCAAACACAGCTGGTTGTTATAAGAACTGTTTTGTAGTTGGCCAACAAGTTGTTTAGCTGTAGAAATTGTATTGGTTGTATGTGCTGTCTAGGTTTCTTACCAGAGGGCTTTGCTCTGTCAGTGTTGTACATTTACAACAGTAGTTTTCTTAGAAATTATGTACCAGTAGAAAACTTTCAAAAAACAGAATGGAAAGAAAGAGTTAAACTACTTGTATTACTGCAAATAATTACCTTGACTTTTTACACATTTTTACCTTAAAAATACTGTTTAGTTGAGATGCTATGATTTGGAGCACCTTGGTCGATTCGAGCTTTTGCCTTATGCCTGACTTCAGCAGCATTTTAATGACAAACATTTAAGACTCTGAGCTGTGACAATTGTCTGCAAGTGGTCACGTGGCCACATCTTATTGGGTGCAACTTAATGTGAACAATGAAGAATCTGCATCCACATCTCCTCTCAAGTGGTGTCTGATTTTGTAAGAAATATGAAGCAATCAGTGTTTGTGTTGACTTATGTATGGATAGAGGCACCTATGTTGTGTGCTTGGTTGAATTAGTATTTGCATTTTGAAGAAGGAATTTGTGTTGATGTATCATACATTAAAATGCCCCATTCATTCCTCAAGAAATGTTAAGTCATGCTTTTAAAAGTGACTCAAAGCTTAGGGGCTTTCATCCCATCAATGTCTCTGCTAATTATGAAAATGGTATTTCTGGAACGTGAGTGACTTAATTGCCATCTATTATTTCCATTTTTAAAAAGCTGGAGAATTATTTAATACATTGTTTTGTTTTCAAATGGGATTTTGCACTGTATTATATGTTAAATTAGAGCAATAACTCTTAAAGATAAAATGTCTCTTTCAGGTGGAAGCCCTTAATAAAATGAAGACTTTAAATAGTCTAATTAAGCTGAATGCCATGAAGCAAAGCAAAGCAAAAGGAAAAGATGCCATGCATACGTGTTTGAAACAAAATGCTTACAGAGAAGCACTTTCTGACCTTCAGTCTCCTCTGAATCCTTCTGTTATACTTTCAGAACTGCAGTGAGTAAAGAATGAGTGAATACAATTTCACTGTAGCTTTTGCATGGAATCAGTAGAGCAGAAACTTCCTCTGGCTGTGTTGTCCAGCTCATGTGCTGTCATGGGGAGCTTTTCCTATGGTGAGGGGTCTGCTGGGATTCTTCCTAAGGTTAAGATACCAGTTAAGTTAGAAGATATTTGTGATCCACCATGAAACTCAGTATTCTCTTAACTGAGCCATTACCATAGCTAAACATATTTAAATATAAACCTCAAAGTGCATTAGACTGCATTCCTTCCTTCTGTTTATAACAATAAGCACAGAAGTCACTAAAACTTTTCACAGCACATAAAGTCTGAAAATTGATGGGAAGGAATATAAAGAAAACTATTTTCTCTAAAAATGAGGATGCTTGATTTAAGCACTAGAGATGTGTATGCCAATCAAATACAGTCCATCTATAATATGTCCATAGCTTGATAAGTGCTCATAGCATAGCTGCAGAATGAATGCTGAGAGAACATTTAGGTATTTCCAAACTGGAAGTCTGTGTTCTGGCATGTTCTGAACCATGGTTAGACCTTTTCAGTTGAATTATTCTTATTTGACCAAAACTTCTGTTGTATTTTCTTCTAGTGTTGAGAAGTGTAGATACATGGATTCTAAAATGAAGCCTCTGTGGATAGTATACAACAACAAAATGTTTGGAGGAGATCTTGTAGGGATCATCTTTAAAAATGGTGATGGTAAGTAATGCTAAAAACTTTAAATTTTTCCTTTTCATTGCCATGCTTGCACTTAAGCTGTGTTGCTGTGTTTTGCCATAATGTAAAGGTGGATTACTCTACCACTGGTAAACATTCAGCATCTTCTTCTGACTGAGTTTCAGAGTACAGGCATGGCCAGTCACGATGGTGTAATTATGGTTAATGCCACTTTAACCCTTAGGCTCGAGGAGTGTTTTTAGATACCTTTTCCTGAGGGCCTTATAAACTTCAGAAAGTTTGTTTGCAACACAGTGAGAACCTGAAGCAGCAGTTTCACCCTTTGGTTACAGATCTCCGACAGGACATGTTGACGCTCCAGATTTTGCGTTTGATGGACATCCTTTGGAAAGAAGCTGGTCTGGATCTCCGGTAAGGATCCCTGGAGGGCTAGTTTCTTTGGATGGAGAGTCTACTTTTAGAAGTAAAGCTCTCCTATTTTTAACTACCTTCCCTACTGCCCCCTTTCTAAACATCTGTATGGATGGCCAAAGGTTTCAGTTGTCACAGCTAAGGTGAACCTTCTCTCCTTCCTGCTCTGAGCAGTCCCCTTATGGCTGTTCACACTGACACAGTCGCTGTGAGCACCTTCAGTGTAGATGCTGAATCCCACTTTGTTTGCTTTTGTTGATAAAACACTATTTGGATGTCAGAAGACACTTTTCAGACCAGAAATATCTTTGTGTTTTTCAAAGTCTCTTGCAAAGCAGCTTTCTACCTTCATATGCTTGCCAAGGTAAGCATTACTTCTTTGTAGGAATATCAGAGTATCCCAAAGAGAAACAGGATCAGGCATTCTTCCATGTTATCACACAACCCTCTAGTACATGGGGAACTTTTCCACCCAAAGTTATGCACCAGTTTTAGGTAATATAATTATCAAATTCTAATTAGTCTTTAGAAAAGTAGTCCTAAAGAAGGCACTGGGTGTCACATTATTATAAACCATTTGGAGGCCATAAATTCAATTTTATATGTCTGTGAAAGGGCTGCATTTAATTTTTCAGTGTGTTTTTTTGTAATTCTAGAAATATTTATTTAAATACTTATTTTAGTTTCTTTGAGCTCATTTCAAATGTTTTATGGTTCAAGCATAAACAGTGGGAGCTACATAAGGCACTTAACATCAGCACAGAGAAGTGCAATTATAAACTTGTTACTTGTTTGCTTATAGAAAGGTAGGAATGTGAATGACAAACTGTTTCTGGAAATGTACATTTGTGAGGTGGCTGAGTGTGTGTTAAGTTGAACACTGACTTGAGGAAAGCTTAGATAATTTGTCATTATAAATAGACTCTGAGGAGACCAATCCATCATTTAGGGGCAAGGACAGCTTTTGGCAGCTGTGGAACTTCAAATGAGGCATCCTTTGGTTGCTGCCTTCCCAGAATCTTAGTTTGTGATGCCAACCTGGGCCACACACTGTGCCTAGCAAACAGGAATAGTGATTAGAGTCATCAAATATGCTTCTCCTGACAAAGGCATTTTTTTTAAACTTAGCAAAGGAAAACCAAAAAGTAGCTCTGATGTCCAAGTTTTTTCTTAAAACTCTGAGAAGAAAAAAAAGTAGAAAGGGGAAGTTCCTAGTGAGAATTGAAGTTCTATATTTGACCTCTTCCATTTATTTGCTTAACTGGGCTTATTTTTCCTTGGGTATGAGTCATGATCTCAGGCAGAAAAATAGTGTCAAATAGAGCTGCTTTCCTGAAAAATAGTGTCATATGCCCGTACCAATGCTTCTTGCCCTGTATTGTCCTTGGAGGCTTTAGTTTCCCTGAAGGTGTTCATTCCATTTGTGGATACATAATGGATTTTGCACTTGTCAACTCTTCTCCACTACAGAAAGTTTGATAACTCCATCCAAGTAAAATCAGGGCTTCTCGTGTCACTGGTGTCAGGGCAGAAGCACTTGCTGTTTGCCTTTCCCCATCAGTCATGTTTTGCCACGAGCAAATTGTACAGCTTCTATGAAGCGTGGATCAAATGGCAACCAATCCCCTGCCATTGAGGAGTTTGGGACGTGATCAGTTCCCTTTTAATTACACTGTGATCCACAGTAGTTTAGTAGTGATTTAAAATTAAATCTTAGCTCAGTCTGTGTCTAAGGCAAGCACAATATTCCCAATGGGATTTTTCTCTTCTCTAGAGAAGAACACTGAATATATATTGATTTTGAGGTCTCCAAAGCTGAAGGAGGGGAAGTGTTTGTTTGTTTGTTTAACTGTCAACTAATGTGTCTCATGGGTAAACTGGCCTTTTGCATGTGTGTGTTGTGCTGCCTGGGTTCCTGTGTGTGAGGTCTGACTGAACAACACAGCCAGGGCAGGGTTAGTAAGGAAAAGGAGATGTGTTTGTGCAGGAGGATGCAGCAGTGCTCCAGTAGGTCCTGGGCTGGCACTGGGTGGACTGTGCACGCACAGCTGAGTAAAACCTGAGGTGCAGATTGATCTGCTTCCCAGTGCAGAGCCAGCCATGAGCAGAATGGCAAATGAAACTTTGAGACAGAAAAACTTTCAAACCCCCTGAAAAGTTACAACTCCTCAAGTTACAATTTCTACCTGTGAAGTCCTGTATGGGCATACTCACAGTAGATTACATAGCTTATTCTACTATTTCCACAAGGAATGTTAAACTATTACAAATCCATGTCACAGCACAGGAGCATAACATGTCTTCCCAGGGATGCTGTGGGGTCTGGGGTGTTGCACCTCTTAGGAAAGTGATCCTTGCATAAGGAAGTGTTTCAACTGCTTTACTTGTATTAGAGCAGCAAAGGTGTGTTAAGGGCAAAACTAGTAAAGTAACAGAGCAACAGGAAATCCTGAATTTCTGGAGTTTGATCTATGTTGATTCACTTTTGCTGTGGTAAATTGTCATACAATTATTTAATACTTGGTTATTTTTTCAGATGTTCTCCAAAGTACTTTTTTTTTCCATGCTTGTTTATTGTGGGGTTTCATTTTCATCTCCCTTATGAGTGAGGTCTGATGTTATGTGGATGTGTATGAATGAAATCAGAATTCACACGAATACTGAAAATGTATTTGTTACAACTACAAGGAATGTCATCTTTTTTAAACTATTGGACCTGAAGTTACAGAGAATATGTTGATAAATTACCAGAATTTGGTGTGTATTTGGAAGGATACTGCTCTGGAGAATTAAACTCTTGAAAAAAAGAACAATTTTAAAGGAACAGAGAGAAAATTTTCTGTCCTGCTCAGGACTGCAGTATTGATCTGTCCATGGCTTTTACTGGCTTTAAAAAGCAGGGAGCGTATCCTGCTGGCAGCTGTTGAAGTCAGAAAGACCAGAATGAGATGGAAAGGGCCCAGAGGATTTGTCCCTAACTTGACTCCTGTCAAACCGTCTCTCTGACAAGGATGTTTTTTCCTCCGGTTATAAGCACACAGCCCTCAAGGGGCTGAAGGCTTTCATCATTGCTTGCTTTTGAAGGGGAAGTTGCTGGACCTGTGCCCAGTTAAGCTGCAAGTAGGGTGGGTTGAAATGCCGTGGAAGAAAGCCAGCATGCACTTTAACCTGGCAATGTTTGGCTCACATTTGTCGTGTCGTGATAAGGATGGGCTGTGCTTCCTCGTGTCGTGGGCGCTGCCATTGGATGGTTACAGACACTGTTCTGTTCACCGTGAGACCTGCTGGGCTGGGGAGCTGGGCTGGAACTGGGACACAGATCAGAACAGAAATGGGAAGAGGATTCCAAGTCTGCACTTCTTTTGTTGTTTTGAAGTTGAGTGTTCTCAAAATACCCTGTTGAATCTGGTTTTCAGTTTGCTTTGTTGCCAGTAGAGAAGAGTCCCAGACTATGCAGTTACTGCAGCTTGTGCTGTTTCAGTTGTGTGTTATCCCCGAGGTAGAGAAACTGCTCAGTTGCTTCATAGCTATTATGGCAAAAAAAGTCATTAATTTTGTATGGAATTTTATTTATTTTCCTTCTATGGCTTGGGATAACAGGCTGTGTCAGTTAGGAGATGAGGTTCTGCTTTGTAGCAATGAAATTTAATATCTATTCTATATATAAATAAAAATGACAACTCCACCAGCAGTACTTTTTCTTTATATATATATATATACTCACATATAGAGATATATATGTACAAGTATATGTATGTATATATGCACACACATCAATTTTAATCTGTCCTGCAATTGTTTTATACGGCTCTGTAAGTTAGTGAGTGCTAGTCTATAGCTTGTGTACTGCAGTTGGATTTTTGTGGGCATCTGTTCTCTTATACCTGGATTTGCAATCACAACTGAGATAATATTCTTCACCTGAGATGCCTGGCACGAGATCAGACACCTCAATTTGGGATGCAGTGCCTTTGAAGAGTTTGCTATAAGTTTCCATTGCACACACTGAGCTCCCATGCCATTGGGAGCTGGCATTCTGTTCAGCTTTTTGAGCATCTAGAGTGAGAAAACACTTATCTGTTTAGACACATCTCTCCTTAGTTCGTATCCTTAACTGTGTCTTATTGTAATGCAGTGACATTGTTGGAGATATTTTTACTAGTCTCAGTATATGAATGCACAGATATATTCTTAGATACCAGGCAAGTTAAGAGATGTATTCTTGTTTTTCATTGGGTTTCTATGCTTAAATTTGGTAAGAGTTGGGAAACATTTTATGTGTTTATATTTAGAAGGATTTCTAGCATTTTAATTTGAAATAGGAATAAGGGGGGAAAGGACAAGATCCTTTTTTATCCATTTACAGAAGTGATTTATCTGGAATGAGCAGGAGTGTGTTGGTGTCTGCCCGGGCAGGAGTTAACAAATGCAAACATGGGGCTCCCTCTGTGGGTCGTCCCGTGAAAGTACAAGTAACTGGGAAAAATTAGGCTTCTTAAAATTTCTTTTTTTTTTTTTTTTTACATATATGTACATAATAGGAAAAATTAATGTTTTAAATGTATTGCTGGTATTTTACCTTCACAAGCAATTCGTGTATGTTGACCTTTGAGAGGTTTACTGTTTAAAGGAGTGTGAGTATTCATCCCGCTCAGAAAATCGATACACTAAAGAAACATGTTGCTATATCTGATTTTAACATGATTCTGTGTTTCCTTTCAGGATATTGCCCTATGGCTGTTTGGCGACTGGAGATCACTCTGGCCTTATTGAGGCTGTTTCTAGTTCAGAAACCATTGCTGACATTCAGTTAAACAGCAGCAACGTTGCTGCAGCTGCTGCCTTCAACAAGGACGCGCTCCTGAACTGGCTGAAGGAATACAATTTAGGGTAATTTCTACAGTTATTTTCTCAGCTATAGTATGAGCTACAAAATGCCTCTTAAGTTTCTCTTTTAATGTTGAGAGAGGTATGGTTCTTCTGGCAGGTTTGTTGCTAATTATTTTTCTATTATGTCAAATTCAGACTCAGATTCCTGGTGTCCTTGGACCTGGCATTTGCAGCATTTTCACTGTATGTTGTTGAGCTATACTAGATTTGGCAAAATGAACAAACATGGGTCTCAAGTCTTGATGTCGTTGCCTTTTTTATTGCCTATTCTCCATGGCTGCTTTTACAGTATTTTTCCTCAAGTAAGCCTGGTTTTACAGCATTCTAATGGACTTGTGGTTTATACAAGTGAAAATCCTACTTGGGATCAAGGCATGACATGAATTGCCAATAGTGTGAACTAATATTGTTTGTCTTTGTGGTTACAGAGATGACTTGGATCGAGCCATTGAAGAATTTACTCTGTCTTGTGCTGGCTACTGTGTAGCTACATATGTGTTGGGAATTGGTGACAGACACAGTGACAACATCATGGTCAGAAAAAATGGGCAGGTAAAAATCCTTTCCCTGGGCAGAATAACAGTGTGCAAGAATTGTCTTGAGAACTTGTAATTTCTTTGATTTCTTGGTGAAATTAAATTCACACATTGTTAGAAATTATGCCTTTGTTCACTGAGAATTGAAGAAAGCTTCAAGAAGAGGAAGTGTAATGCTGGTGGAAGGACAGACCAGTGCCTATTCAATAAGCAATTCTATATCAAGAGAGGCTGTTCTGTAGAGCTTTTTCAAAACACCCAAGAGGTCTGTTAACGGTTCAGATTCATTGAACAAAAGTAATCTTAGAGTGTCTTGCAAAAGACCATCCTTAAAAATTTTGCATTTTGGAGCAGTGCAGTTTCCCCAAAGCGACAGCTCAGCCCTGCAGAAATGTTCAGTGTGGAACCCAGTACCAGCACAATGCTGTGCACTGAGCACCTGGGTGAGCTCTTAGACATGTATTTTCTTGCTTTGTACTGTAAAACTTGACATTATTCCACCTAGAAAACTAGTAAAGGTTATAAAAGTAAGAGTTTTACAGACATTTGCAGTATTCATTTAAGTTTGTACCTACTGGAAGACAGCTGAAATGCCCTTATCTTTGATTCTAAAATGGGAGAACTGCCACAGGTTCCTCGAGATTAACTTAATTCTGCTGGCTTTGCCTCTGTTTTTATGTGGGAAGCCCTTGGATATGATGATGATGAGCCTCGTGGGCTCATCCTTGGGCTCATTTTTCTGGGTGATATTGCCAGCAAGACATCTAGTGGCAGACAGCAGCACCATAAACCTCAGATAATATTTGCTGCAGTGGCCACTCATAAGAGCGTGGAAGTTATCACTGACTTTAAATCTTGAAATGTTTTCAAACTAACCCCAAGAGTTGAAACCATGGGCTGTGGAGAGTTGCATTAGGAGTTACAACTGTTCTTAATACCAGCATCCTGCAGAGATATTAGAAAAGTGACATATTTCACTGGAGAAATTAACTTCCAATTCTGTTCCTTTTTTTAGCTCTTTCACATAGATTTTGGGCATATTCTTGGAAACTTTAAGTCCAAGTTTGGAATTAAAAGGGAACGGGTACCTTTCATACTCACCTACGATTTCATTCATGTTATTCAACAAGGAAAAACAGGGAACACTGAAAAATTTGGTCGGTGAGTGTTACTTTGATCTCTTTGTAACCGAGATAATCTCTGGTGTTAATTTCCAGCACGCCAGGAACCTGTCTGGGTTTGGTTTGCACATTTGCACTTGTGTGGAGGTGTCCTAACATGCATTTACTGTCCTGTCTGCTGCTCTACCTGAACTAGAATGTACATACAGAGTATTTCATAACCAGAAGCTGCAGCTCTGCAGTGGGAAGATGCAGTTCTACCTCCCACAGCAGGAGGTGGCAGGTTTTGCTGGGCTCATTTGTTTTTGCCTTCAGCAGCACTGGGCACTAGGCAAGGGTGCCACAGACTGTTGTTCAGGTGAGGTGAAGCTTTGGCCTTAGGAACGGGCTCCCTTTTGCCCTTCTTGTCCATCAGTGCACACTTGGGGTGCTACCCCATCCTGACCTTGCTTGGACAGGCATGGAGAGCCATGTGCTCATAATCCAGATGACAGAGATAGGGACAGGTTAGGTTGATATCGAGGGACTGCTATAGAGCTTTTGTTTTTCCACTGTAGGTCCACTCAACAGGATCACAAGGGAATTTCACCTAACAAATTCTCAGGAGATGGGACACTGGCATGTTCTTTCCAAAGAACAGCTGGTGGTCTTTTGTGCTGATGTTTTAAGGGCTTGTTGCAGAGCCATGGGATATGTTTGTGAGAATGCATTGAAGGTTCTGCAGACAGCTCTGTCCTTTCTGTTCCTGTGTTCCTACAATACGTGTGTTAGACCAGATAACAAATTTTGGAAATTGTTGTGTACCTTTGTCCTCTGTGGAAGTTCTCATGTGTTGTGTTCATTGCATGTGCCCTGGTTGGACACAAAGGTTCCGGCAGTATTGTGAAGAAGCCTACTTGATCCTGCGGAAACACGGGAACCTATTTATTACACTCTTTGCACTGATGTTGACTGCAGGGCTTCCAGAGCTGACCTCTGTCAAGGACATCCAGTATCTCAAGGTAAAGTAAGATTTACAGCTCAGCAGACCTTAGCATTTTTCGAGGTTGTGAATTTTTGATTCCAAGATTAATACGCTTTAGTTGTTTTGCATTTCTGCCAAGATTTCCACACAGCCCTCAGAGTTTTCTTTTTCAGCTTTATAGAACAAGGTCTATAGTCAGTACTGGTGCTCAAAGGAAACTGTTCCTTTCATGAGTTCAGGACCCCTGCATCTTAAATGTAGTCTTCTCAGGGGTGTTTCCATCTTGGCTCATACACAAGCATAGACCCATAAAGGTGAAAATCATTTGCTTAATTCTTTTTCAGTTTTATCTTTAAACCCAAAAAGTACCACTGATGGTACACTGATGGCTCAATGAATAGGTGAAAAAGTGTCAAAACAGGACTAACCAGGATGTGGTTTGTGTTGAAAGATAACAGAGGCTTTAACTGTGTTTTTTAAAATTCCTAACAGTACTTGTTCTCCTGTTGTCTTAGGACTCTCTCGCCTTAGGGAAGAGTGAGGAAGAAGCACTAAAACAATTTAAGCAAAAGTTTGATGAAGCACTCCGGGAAAGTTGGACTACTAAAGTGAACTGGATGGCTCACACTGTTAGAAAAGATTACAGATCCTAGAAGACTTCTGCGCTTGCACTAAGCTGAAGGTTAGCTTGATAAGTGTTTTTAGAGGGTTATCTGTCCTATGGACCAACAAAACTTCAAGAAGCGTTTGGATAACGCTCTCAGGCTCACAAACAACAAAAAGAAATGGACTGAAATAATTCCTGAGTCTTTTGCACTCTGCTTCTGAATGCTTGATTCCAAGACTGTCTCTAGAAACAGTGAACATCCTGGATAATCAGTTCCTGCTGACTTTGCACGCTGAGAGCTACTAGGCATTTTTAAAAATTCTTTGGTACTTTATGGAGGTGTAAATATTTGTTTTTATACGTTAGAGTAATGTACTCTAACATACTCGGGAGGGTTGAAGACCTCTGACAGAACTGTTCTTTGCTTAAAGTTGGGACTTGAAGAGTAAATTTTTTTTTTATATCCTAATCTGGCTAAAAATGACCATATTGTATATATTTTTCATAAGACCTCTGCCCTTCTGGCACAGATGCATTAATTCTACTGTAAATAGCAACCACGGTATCACTGTACTGCAGGGAGCTGCCCCACGTCTCGTGCTGCTGCTGAAGGAAGGGTAGATGTCTGTAGGGTGGGGGGAGGACAGGGACATCTTTGGGAATGATGCAGCATCCAAATGTTCAGGGTTGTGCAATTTTGTTCCTCTGACATAACACACACAAAAGAAGCCCTTCAGAATCAGGAAGGTTAAGCCAATTCCAAACGTGCCTGAGAATCCCTCGTTGTAATGGTCTCCCACTCAGCCCCTGGGGCTTTGCCCTCAACACCTTGAGAGGCACATTTGGTTCAGGTTCAGCAAGAAGCTTCTTACAGCCTTACACTGGAATTTGTATCTCAGATTAGTTGTTCCCTGCAAAATGTACTGACTTATGTAAGGGACATTTTCATTAAATATACTACACAAAGTGATTTTTAGAGCCTACGTACCAAAAACCCCAGAACACCAATGCCAAGTCACTGATCTTTTCTCACTGTATTTATTAAAAGCTTGCAGTAATGTTGCTTTATGTTGAAGATGGTTGCTGAAGAAACTGGATTTGTTTTAATTTATTTAGTGAGATACCAGGCTTTTAGGTGCTTAAATGGAGAGCAAATTTGTTACGTGCAATAGGGAACTGCTAGTTCAAAGATGTGACATAATGTTTCTGAACATCAGCAAGAGAAATTTTAACTACTGCTTGTTCTCCAAGGGACACTGGTAGCTCTTGATTCTTGTTGACATTTGAAAGAGAATTAAACATATATATTTACCTTTTGACTAAGCAGTTGTTCTGCATAGAAATGTTGGTTTATGTAGGAATTTAGGTAAAGGTGCTTTTACTTTGTTGAGAGTGATTTATTTTTGTTGGTTTGAGGTTTCCTTGTTTCTTTTAGAGGTCAAGAACCTAACTGGAGCCAAGGTGGCAGTCTGTATAGGGCTTGGATTCTCTTGTCCCTCGCCCTTTGGGCTTATCTATCTGAAAATCTTCTTCTTCTAGAATATTGTAAAAGTAACAAGTGGTTTGTGGTTTGGTTTTGTTGGGTTTGATTTTTTTTTTATACAATATAGTAGCATTAAAAGTGCCATTTCCCCTGGGTTATATATATATATATATATATATATATATATATATATATTCTACAGCAGATGGCAGGAAGGCTAAAAAGAAACTACATTGCAGGTGATAACTGAAAAAAGTAATTTCATCCTCGGCTAATTCACAGCATGTAAATTTGCATAAGTAACTGTTCTGGGACACATTGTATTTTTCTGTGAAACAGAGTACTCAGACATCTCTGCTGTGTTGTCTTATTGAGGGAGACATAACCTTTCCTCCCTTTCCCAGAAGTTTGAGATGAAGTTGGCAAGTTCACCTTGGCTGCTTGGTGTGTGTGGTATCTGAGAGGAGGGAGCATGATGGCATCCTTATATCCACAGCTGGAAAGGCAAGTCCCGTATTCCACCCCAGCCTTCTTGTGGGACTTGGAACAAGTCATTCAAGTCTGTGCCTCACACTCACTCCTACTGGCAAAACTGGAGGCAGGAGCCTTGACCTCCAGGTGCAGGAACACCTTCCCTCAAGTACCAGCAGGATATTGCACAGAATGAAGTTATTTTGTGTTGTGAGGTTTTTTTGGATGTGATTTTTGATGCAGGTTATAAAAGTACTTGAGATAAGCAATAGGATTTCCTCACCATCTTCCTTGAGGAAGGTATTTAGAGATTAATAAGAAATACTACTTCTGCTCAGTATTTGTGTTGGTTAATAGCCCTTGAACGGGCTGTGTTGTGTTTGGTTGTCTTTGCCTTTGCTACGCTTACTCTTGGCAATGAATTAGTAAGAATGGGGAGAGGAAGTCAGAAGCCTGTTAAATGGTCTGGTTTTGTGTTTGGCAGCAGAGACAATGCATTTTCCTCATGTAAATTGATCTTGGTCTTCAAATAGCTGAGAAGATAGCCCATGTCAGAGGAAAGCCTTCCAGGCTGACATCTCAGGGGTGAACCTGACAGGAAGCAGTGTTTATAGGGTCACCAAGGCTGATTTTGTGATACCTTCATGTTAAGCTCTGAGTGGAGTACTGGTTTGCTGAATTGTATTAGCAAATAGATCACCACTTTCTCTGGTTTTCATCATATTTGCTACAGCCTGTGGTATACAGACTTTGATTCAGAAAACGAACAAATAAATAAATAACTGCTTTGTGAAAAGTTGGAAGAGACAGTCTGTCCTTCGCATTTTGTCATCCAAGAGGAAAAGACTGGAATTTTGGCACATCAATCTATTGCTTATTTGTGTACTTACCTCCCAATATCCAGCTGCAGTATTGAAATGGTAAGTTCGTTTGGGCTGAGTGGGATCATATTATTTTAGACCATTTACAGAATTCAGAAGGCATCAAATGGTCAGATTATAATATGAGAGGTTAAAGATGTTTGTAACAGTAAGGAGAAACATCACCTTTTTAAATGTGGAAGCTTTGGAAAGGATATAGCTTTGTGCGGCTGTAGAAAAGAAACATAAGGTACAACTTTGATATCAAACATCTTCAGTTCAGATGGTCTCATGTTATGGTAATTACTTTTCTCCAGATCTACTTCTAGTCTGCTCTGTACATGTCAACTGAAAAAATTACTTTTCTTTCTCAAGGCCTTCATTGTATCTGGCAGAGGAGAAAGCTACCTAGGCTGCTTTAAAAACCAAAACTGAAATTGGGTATATGCAGTGTATATATTGTATTAATTTATTCTAGTTTTCTTTTGATTGTATGAGTACTTTATGGGTTTGATTTCTTTACCTTGAATCTTTTGATTTGTGAACAAGTGGTGACAACTGCTGCTTTTATACTCCTGCTTGTCCTGTGTTGGATTTACAGGGAAAGAGCTCCCATGGATTTGCCCCTCACCAGTGGAGTTGCTTCCTTTCCCTTTTATGCTTGTATCAGTTGTGTTGGCAGGGGTCTGTTGATTGTCAAGTCACTCACATTCTAGTGAATGCCTTTGATGGAGCCCATTTGTGTATTTAATATAATAGAGTCCAATGTTCCTCTTAAATTTCCTCAAACTATTGGAATCAGATAATTAAGGAGTACAGGCTCTTAATAACTGATATGTCAGGGTATGATCATAGCTTTATTATTTAGGAATGATTTCAAGCCCAAATCTTTTAAATGTGTAATCAGTATTTCTATTATAATTCTTTCACAATATATTGTATTAATATAATTATGTGTCTTGAGCCGGCTTTAAAATCTAAAACTGAAAGCCTGTGCTCACATAACATGTTCCAGTTTTTGGCAAGTTTTCTTGAAATAATTTTAAAAATTTCTTGTCTGGCATAAGAGCTGAGGGGGTGGAGCTGTCCTGATGGATGAGTGGCAGTCGGTGCTGCCATAGAGGTTGCAGAGCTCCCTGGCTCTGGGATTTCACCGTTTGCAGGGGCCTGTGGGGTTTTTGGAGACAAATGTGCCTCGTTGTGCCGTGGCTGGGGAGATCAAAGTCAGGCTAAGCTCAAGGTAGTGGCTTTATTGCCTGACCTCAATACCACACACATAAACCTGTGTATGACAGGAACAAACATGGTCTCACAGTACCAGGCAGATCTCTGAAGCCCAGGAAAAGTGCAGTCATTTAACAGCTACTGAGAAAACAAGGACCATATTAGCTTGTGCTACCTCAGCGCATAATGGAAATGTTGTAGTTGTTCTTCCCAAGCTTGACTTCATGACTGATAGAGGAGAAGAGTGGTGCTTCTGCAGTGCTGGTCAGGGAAATGATTTACCATGTTACCAGCTGTCCTTCAAACAGGACAGGAAAACAGCATTAACTGGGGGGGAAGTGAGGAGAAGAGAAAGTTGCTCCCTAAAATGAGCTGGGTTTGCACATTGCTATTACTTAGATGCCTTTCCAGACTAATAGCCCCTATGAGGAGCTTTGCTGTGTGTCTTCCAGCAAGCCACAAAGGAAATCCCATCAGGCAGGTGCTGATAGAACTATCCCCTCTGGAACACTTGGCTAAAAGCTCAACTATGTCAGCTATTGGAACTGGTTTCACTGTAGTGGACTGTGAGATTTAAAGTAATGCTGCTGTGATGAGCTAGTCCTTCATCCTTTCAGTCTGTCACCTTGCTCTTCCTCAGGTGACTATCTGGAGACGTTTCCTCTGGATTGCTTGATGAAGAGGGATGAGGATGAATAGATATTTCTAAAGTACTGGAGTGGCTTATTCTTAGGAAAGCTGTGAAGGATCACAGCTTAAGAATAGCAGTCACGGGGAAACGTAAAAGGTTAATTCTGGTTTGCCAGGCATTGCTTGGCTTTTATGAAGCAAATGAGCGGAAGCTACAATCAAGCACCATGGAAACATGGTTTCTGAGGGATTAAGGCCCTTGTAGCACAAGGATCTTCTTAAGATCTAATTTCTGGCTTTAGAAGTCTGTGTTTGGACAGGAAGTCTGGGCACTTGCTAGGACACAGAACCAGTGAAGTCTGGGCAGAAGGGTTCATTCCTGGTAGCGGTTCATTCCTATTTGTAAATCCTGCCTCAGGTTTTCTCCTACCTATGGAACCTAATGGGCTTTGCCCTTTGGGCTTTGGACAGCTCAGTCTAGTTTCTGAAATGGTCTCGGTCTCTTGCCTAAGGAGCATTGAGTGTTTGACATTCCATAAAGGGAGCTAAGCAGTATTGTTCAAGATACTCTGGAGCACAGGAATGTTGTATATGTGGCTCTGAATTCCTCCTGTTGAAATTGTTTTCTGAGGAGGTGGAAACAAAACACAAGAATGGATGACATAGCTCAGTCAAAGTACTCCCTAGGGATAGAAAAAAAAATCAGGATTCCAGTCCCCTTACCAAACATTCATTGGAACAAAAATGGAACAGCTCCAAAAGGGGAGCAGGAAGGACACAGAGAGTCCTTAGGAAAAGGATTAATGAAACAAGTCCAGACTTCCCAGCCTGTGTTCTATCTGCTTGGCTAAATAAAAGAACCCTTAATATCAATGGCTATGGGACACTAAGTCTGTTTAGCCTGTTAGCAACCAAAGAGTGAGGAATTCATCCTGCATATAGAGTTGGCCAGTTGCCATGGGAGGAAAAGATGTATGCTGCTAAACTTGGGATAACCTATTCCAGAGGCTACTTCCTCCTTTCACTTGTACTTAAGAATTCCAAAAAGATAAATAGTTTTATGTATGCCTGGACCTTAATGCCACCCACCCCTACCATTGTGTATTGGCCTATTTGGAGCTGCACTACACAGTTTTAAGAACTGCTTAAAAACTACAGTTTTCGGTTTAAGAACCTGAAGAAATCTTATATACTTTGAGAGTTGTGATCCTTGTTGCTTCTTTTAAGGCAAGATGCTGAATCATAAGAGAGGTGCTGAAAGCCTGTGAGAGGTCAGAAATTCTAGCAGGGTGTTTGGATGTGATCTGCAGTCCTCATGGCCTTTAGAAAGCCCCCTTCCCCCATCAAGTGCATACCTGAGTTAGTTAATTTAAAAATAAAATGTTTAATATTCCAGACCACAAACAATACTGAAACATACCAAGGCATTGCAAGTAAGAGCAATGTACCCAGTGTTCTGCATGCAATAGTCACGTCCTTCTTTGCAGCTCAGTGGGATAATCTTGTTTCCTGGAGAGAACAAAGAAAACTGGAGATTATTTCTGAAACAATTCCTTGTCCTTAGCAGCTGAGAAACTTTTAGCTTACAGATCTTTGCTTGCAGGGTGCATGCTGGTTAAATTACTGCATGTGCATCTGCTGTGTATAGTGTGAGCTACAGTATGGCTGGAATTGCTGATGCTGCGCAGGCCGGAGACCCAGTGAGCCTGAGGGATCCAAGCTTTAGCGTTTGGGATGTGGTTGGGTACTGGCAGGGTACCCACATCAGATCTTTAATCACCCCTCTGCAGTCACAGGTGGGCTGTGGCTCCTCCCCTGTCATAGTGGTCGAGCAGGCTGTGGGCAATGAAGCCGCTCTCCGAGTGCAGGGTCTCGCACTTCCGGCAGGTGAGGATCTCGCATTTCGGACACATTTTCCCGGAGTGTGGCTGCCTCAAAGAACAGATTTCCTCCCGTGCTGGCTTCAGCTTCTTGGAGCCTTTCCTGTGTAAACATCTCCTCTTGTCTTCAAAAAGCTGACTTCTTCCCTGAGGGCTACAACAGTCACAAAGAGAGGTGACAAGTTCAGCCTGTGCACTTCCTAGGGCAGCAGAAGCAATTAGTGTGTGATTTATGAACCCTTCCACAGGCTGTACCTGTGACACACCAGGAGCAGGTGCAACGTGTGGTCACCTGCAGAAAGCAGGAATGGACAGAAAAAGGGGAGTCTGGCTGTGATGGCAGGACAAACCATTAGTTTTAGAACACAGAATGATTAAAGGATTTCCATCATTTAAACAAAACCATAAACCAGTGATGCCAGCTAGCTAGGTAGGATCTTTAATATGCAGCTTTTCTGTGGGTGATTGTGGCACAAGCCTCATGTGTTTGCATGAAGACAAATTCCATACAGCTCTGTGTATCTAAATTACTGGCATCTGACCTAATAGGCCTCCCCCATACCATCATAAAGGTTCTTTTTCCACTTGTGTGCACTAACAGTGCACACTAATGCTGGCCAGTAGATAAGCCCTATATTGCACTGACCTTGAACAGAGATGGAAGAGCTGAAAGAAAAGGTCTCTTGATCAAATTATATACCGTTGTATTTTATATAAAACAGTGCTTCAAAATCAAGCAGCTAACCTACGTAATCCCTTACGAGAGCTCACAAATCAGTGCTGAACTGTAGAAATGATGTGATTTGGCTGTACCACTGTGGGAGTTCTGTAGGCCCTTGTGGCTTGAATGTGTTTAAAAACCACTGCCATGCAATGTGTCTGTAGAAATATCTCCAGTAAGGTCTGAAGACTGACTCTTTCCATTAATGTGAGAGCACCATGGGAGGAGGTTCCTATATTCCTGTTGAATTTCTTTTTAATCTTTTTTTCAAACTGGGGAAGTCCATATTTATCACTGACACAGAAGGATCAATGTCTGGAAAACATGGTTTTACTGCTTTGCATTTGTCTGCCCCCTGAATGCACACTTCAGTGAAATTATGAATAACAGAGGATACTCACAGATGTAATTCACTTTTTGGATGTTTGACTATGTTTCAAGTCCAGTTCCTTAGCAGTGCAGCAAGATAAATCCCAAAGCCAAGGCCTTGGTATTAGTTGTGCTGCAATTAGATCAGTCTGAGAGAAAAATGTGGCTCTCAGGTTCATTTCTGGCTAGTGTATTTTAATCTTATGTCGAGCCTGTAACCAGCTGCTGTGGCTATCAAGCTTAATGTAGTTAGCTGAGTAATTGTGGAGACTTGCGTGCACTTCCTCCTAAGACGGTAATTTCATGATAATTATCAAAGACAGACTCTTTGTAGGAGATCTGTAGGGAATGCAGGTCTTGAATGAGAAAAAACAGTTTTTGGAAACCCCTCCTGATCTTAGCATGATGCATACACTCAGTTTAATTTTTGTGTTAAGGAAGAATAATATGAATAATATCAAGTAGAAAGACCCAAAAAGAGAATTTCAAACCCCAAATGGATGATTATAATGGCTCAAAACTAATACATGCACAAAGCAGTAAGCTCAAACTGACTTTTACCTCTGCTTACTTTTGTTGAAAAAGGAATAGTTTTGTGTTGCTTGTCTTTTTGTTTTGTTTTTCCTTTTCTCCTTCTAACTGAAAAGTAGTAACTATAAAGGTACGATTGTAGGAACACAAGCAATAATTATGCTCTGATTCAAGAAACTTAGTAGCACTGACTTTGTTGGACAGTGATTTTTGCTGCTGCCCATACACTGCCATTGCCCATTACACCCCGGAGTTACAGCTGTCAGTGCAACAAAAACTGCAGCATTGTTACTCCTAGACCAGTGTCCCGGGTTGTCGGGCTGGCAGTGCTAGTGTGTATCTGGAGGAACAGAGATGCTGCCTCTCTGAATCTCTCACTGTGGAAGCATTGGAAAATGGTTATAAGAGGAACACACAGACACACAAGGTTTGGAGACATTCATTTTGTGTCTACTTCTGCCAGTGACTTCCTAGTTTTAAGGTCAAGTTGTTTAATTAGTCCATAACTGTTTCCTTGTTTGTGAAACAGTTAATACGGCAGAGCTAACAAAAGTGTCTGTGTGGCTCTTCCAGAGCTGCTCTGGAAATACTTACAAAATTTCTTGGTTAAAAATGTATACAAAATATAATCTGGGATGTACTTACAATTTATTCTTAGGAGACCCAGAGAAAAGGCTCAGTCCAGAAAATCTCTTCTTAAATAGCCGCTCTCGCTTTTTTCGGCCGTGCTTCCCATCTCCTGCGCTTCCTTCCATGAGGTCCTTCTTTCCTTTGTGCCAGCTCATTTTATCTGTCATAACAACACCACTTGCTTAGATGAAAACAGAGGTCTGAGTAGCTTTTCAAAAGCCTCTCCCTTGCTTGTTGTACCTGGCGAAGTCTGGATGTGTTACACTACCTGCAAAGGGTCCTGGTTACACGGGAGGTTCAGTTGAGATCAGGGAGCAGCTGCTTTCCATCAGATGAAGCAAATACCTGCTCTGAAAAATCCTGCAGACACAAGGTGACTCTGGGTATTCTTGCTCTATTCCACGTAATTATGGAAAGTAGGCTTGGACATTAAACATAATGAATATTTCCCTCTACATGCTCTCTTTCATGATGAAGCTGGTTGCTTAAACCAAGAGCAGAGGAGGCTCGTTTGATAGAAGCGAAGAGCCAGGAGCCAGTGAAACAGCTTTGTGCAGAGAACAGAAGCAGTGAAACAAATGTGAGATGGAACAAACACTGCAAAGCAAAAACCAGAACCCTGAAAAGATGAAGAACCAACTGGGGATTTTAGTTAAGGATTGGAAATTGTTTCCTTTTTCTTTTGATAAAGCAGTTGATTAGGCTGCATTTCCGCGTTGTGATGCTTTGTCTCCAAGAATTATCCCTTTGGCCTCTCTGATTGAATTAGTCTCTCTGTGCTACATTTGATACTTGGTAATTTCATTAACTTTTGGTTGCTTGACTTGGAGGGTCATGTTCACCCCCTCCTATGTCTATTGTCTTGTTCCTGCCTGTTAAAAATATTTTCCACAAATCTTCTACACAAAATCACACAAAGTTTGTGGGCTTAAAAACAAAATTGACAATCATTTTGAACTTTTCTGCTTTTACTCTTCATCTTTTCTCTCCTTGTATGCTGCTCTCCCCTCAATCTCTCCCAGCCTTTTAAGTACAGTTCTCCATAACCAGTTCATACCTTAGGACACACACAGGCAAGAGCGACTGGGACTCACTGTACAAATGCTTTGCAGGATCACACCTTGAAACAGTTTTAAGTTGTGTTATAATCATTTACCAAAATTACATGGTAATACACGTTAACGAGAAACTGTAAATTCCTTGAAGGAACATAGAGTGACACACCTTGCTGCTCAGGCTTGGTCATGAGAGACCCAGTGTTTTAACAGAACCCAGGTAAGTCGGACTTGTATATCCCACAGAAATGGCAGAAAAGACCATTTATGAAAGGAATTACAAAGAGTTCACTGACCTGTAAAAGGAAACTGTCACTAAAGTATTGCTAAGATGTGAAGGAATAGAAGTTGTGAAAGAAAGAAAATTTACACACCTCACAATTACAGATTTTGGGGTTTAATTGGTGACAAAATAATCTGCAAATTCAAGACCCATTTTAGGCATACAGTGGTGCTGAGGTGAAGCTCTGCAGAACAGAACAATCTGTGTCTGATAAAATCAGCAACTGGGGAGGCAGACATCTACCTTGCTTCTGAGAAGGGAGCTTCAAAGGCTTCTCACTGAAGGGTCTTTCAGTACTGATACCACTTGTCTAAAAGATCAAGAGAAGATAATGTAACATCGAAAATAAACATGTGAAAATTGGTAACAAAGCACTGAAGATACTCAGATCTTTTTTTAAGCCTTTTAGACAATTTTTGAAAAATTATACTTTGGACATGTACAGTATTTAATTTCTCTTTTAAAGATGAATTTGTCTGGCTATGGGGAGTGTAATTAGTTCTAATGATGTGAGGGGAAATCCTTCCATACTTTAACTATCTGTTTAAAAGTGTTGCCAAATCAGATCTGAATACCCAGTATTTGAATAATTGATTTATTTGCCTTGCTTTTCTTCTCTGCTTAAATCTTGTGAAACTTGACTTGTGAAACTGCTTTCTATCTACCAACCAATTGTTCTCACCTTTCTTATCTAGCACTAATGGAGTTGTTTTGTTAATGACTCTTTAAAATGGGGATCATACTTGCAGATCTGGGAGAAAATATGTTCCCTTCAGATGAAGATCATATATCAGCAATGGACAACATTTTCAGGAACCTCATTGTTGTATCTGTAGGTTGTCTTTAGTTCATTATAAGCAAGGTGTAGTACCTGCAAGACTTCAGATGCCAAAACTGATCTGCACAGATGCTGGTTGTTGATGGCTTTCATTTCTGGATGTCCTGAGCCGTGTATTGATGGCTCTGAAACTGCCTTCATAGATAAAATTTGACTTCAGGACAAAATATGAATTATGAATGGGGTAAAAAAAACAACAGCAACAGTTTACAAAAGACTGATTGTTTTCCCTACCCAAGACTGGCAGGCTGAAGATGCAGGAAACTCTCTTCCAAAAGCAGAGCATTTCCATGGCCATCCCTCCAACTGTTGCAGCCGTGATTCAGCTGTTGTCCTCTGGAGTAAAAGTACCAAACAGAATAAGAGGTAAAATCTTTGTGGCAGGGACTGTCATGCAAACACACAGAGTAAAAGATGCCAGACAGGAAAGGATGTCTGGAGAGAGGAAATTACATGAATAGCAACTTGGGGAGAAGTTCTTGGTGTCTGCATGATGCAGCTTTTCTGATCCACTTGTGTGTCTTAAATGTATTTTCAGCTGTTGGAACTAATTCTGATCATATTATTTTGCCACCACAGGGTGTCTCTGCATATCTTCTTTCACCAAAGGCTTTGGTGTAGCCTTTAATGGCAGTCTATGAGCTCAAGGAAATGTAGGGCTAAAGGAAAATGTCCCCCAGTTTAGCTGTGAATTTTCTTCAGGATTGTGATCTTGGATTGGAGTGGTGGTGCCTTCATTAGCTGGTAGGAAATTCTTCTTTAGCAGCCACAGTCCAGTGATGCTATTTAATTTGGTTTTGAGAACTCTCCTGTATCACATCAGAGAAAGCTGTGGCCATATACTGTGGTACACTGTTCCAACTTCAGCCCATTCTGCACTCTTTTCACAAGGTTTGAGGTATTATTCCTGTACTGACACGTTTCTATTAATTTTTAATTTTTCTGACTGCCATTTCACCTTTATGCTCATGGGTGTATTTTCTGCTCCCCTTCAATCAGGATAAAGCTGGCGTGAAGTCAGCATAGACACTGTATCATGTGCTCTGGATAGTTTGTATAATAAAACGTTTTAATAAGTTGGGTTTGGAGTCTTCCAGGGGATTTTTTTTGAGTCTTTTGAGCTTTGGTCTGGCATCAATACTTGTTCCACCCTCCACATAACAACATGAAGTGATAGCACAGAAGGGGCAGGAAGATCTAGATAGTAGGTCCTTCTGTCCCAGAAGCTCCTGGCCTCACAGCCTTGCATGACTTTTCACTTCCTCAGTATGTGAGCATGGTTTGGGTTTGAAGACTGGTAGCAGGTGGTACCTGTACTCAGTGTATGCCTATGTGTGGGTGTTGGTGTGGCTGTGTGCTACAGGGGTATCAGATAAATGTACCTTTGTCTAGGATATCTGAAAAGTAAACCATCCTCATGAGGGAAGATTGTAGAGGAATACCAGATGAGAAGTGCTGAGCTAAATAATCTGTGGATGGATAAAGCTTAAAGCTAGTCAGGAATCTTTTGACTGTCGTCAGGGCATATCAGTTGGTTGAAACTCCATCTTTACATAGAGAAAATCCACTTTGATTTTTTTTTTTTTTTTACTTCCATCAGAAAAAGCTTCTCAGGGCCAGGCTATTATGACTGCAACATGTGAGCACGCCCTTAGTGATGTGGTCAAATGTAGACAACTAAGGCTCAAAGTGACATTTATTCATTCATGCAAATGATTACCTTCATTAGAAGAGACAAACCCTCCAGTGGCTGCAGGTATGATGAGTCTTTAATGCCATGAGGAAGCTCTCAGGCAGCAGAGGGAGAGGGGAGAGAGGTTCCTGTGAATAAGTCACTCTGAAGAGTTCCACCATTCCCCCAAAGGTTTGGATCCCCTTCAGAGCTGACAGCCAAGGGCTTGCATCTGTGACAGCATCTGAGCCTGGATTTAGGCAATAGCTGAGTGTCCTAAGGTCTGGGCTGTGTACCACCACTGTGGGTGTTGTCACATTCCTTGGTTACTTTCTCCATGAAAATATTCAACTGATTGATACCAACTTTAGAAATTGGGACTGATGCGTTCCTCATCCCTAGTACCTGTGTCTTTGCCTGTTACTTTGAGGAACAATTCACCTTTTCTTTGACTCCCGCATCAAAAAACACAGATTTTATCTGATGACACTGTTGTACTTTATCTCCAAAAGGCACCTCGAGATCTGAGGTCTTACTTACAAAAGCTTCTCTGTGTTCTGGGTAAGCCCTTGCCTTACCCAGATACCTGGGTTTAACAGCTTGTGCTATCTGTCACTGACATTGATGGAAAGGCAGTGATGGCTAAGGTATCTTTTTACAAGGAAAATGGGAGAAGTTATCACCGGGGACAGTGATGTTAAGTGCCACTTCTTGAAAACCTTTCTTCTTCCTTGACCTCTGTTTAGAGTATATGATGGCTTTGGTTTGAATCTAAAGGAGCACGTTCTGCTTCAGAAGAAGTTTTGTGCTGTACAAGGGTGTGGGACATGCAAGGGAAGTGCTGATGGTAATGAAGGAGTTTCAAGGGCGAGATTGGATGCCTGGGCTTAGGTTGAGTGTGAGGTGAACTTAAAGCCAGGAGCACAGAGACTTGGCAACTGCTGTACTTCATCTGAGACACAACCATTTCACAATCAGTGGCTGATCCAGTAGCTTCTCTGTCTCTGGGTTTGCTCTGTGTTGTGGGTAGGCATTATAATCCTGACAGTTTGCCTTTTTTCATTCACGAGTACTCACCCATGACAGCATGGATTGAACAGCAATACCTTTCGTGCTTCTCTTCCTTTTTTTTTTCCCTCTCTCACTCTCTTCCCTCCCCGCCCTTTCTTTCTAGAAAAGAGAGGGAGACAGAAGGTGGTTGCAGAAAGACAAACGTTTTCACGTAAATCCCCCCAGGCGTCCTGGCTGGACTGAGCCCCGCTCCGGTGACCACACCCAGCCAGACGCTGCCTGCTCCGCACGGGGAGGAGGCGGGATGTGGCAGGAGCCGGAGCCTCCGTTCGCGTTCGTCACTCCAGGACTTTCTCCTGGCTGGCGTGCGGGTGGGGAGGGGGTACCTCCGTGCCTTGCCTCTATTTCCTACCCTGTGATAAGGCGCAGGCATGCTCAGTAGCCGGTGCCTACCCCTCCTATCTCAGCAACAGTGCCTACAACAGTAGGAGAGCGTTGGCAGCAGGCGCGGAGCCGGAAAGCCATCTTTGCTGGAGAGGGAGGCAGCAGACCCCGCTCGGCCCCTCGCCATGTGAGTACCGGGGGCCGCGCCCGCCCCGCCGGGACCGGCCCCTGGCCCGGGGCTCGGAGCGACGGGGAGCTGCCCTGTTGCTTCCGCAGGGCGTCGGTCCGTGTGGGGGTGTGCGGCGGGGTGGGGTGAGGGGATGGGCACAGGGATGGAAGGTGGGGAGCTGCCGGAGCCCCGCGGCCGGCACCGTGAGGGTGCGGGCGCTGGGAAGGGCTCGCAGGGCGGGGGCTCGGCGGCAGCACCAGCCGGGTCTGGCGTGCCTGCTGCTGCTGCTGGTGACCTGCGAGCGCTCAGAGGGCTCGCACTGCTGCTTATCCAGCTGCCAGGCAGCAGCGGAGAGGTTTATTGACACGTTTCTAGCTCGGATTAATACTGAAAAGGAAACGCTGGGCCAAGATCCTCAACAGGTTCAAGTCAGGATTGTTCAATAGCGTGAGTCACGCTCGGAGGTGCTGCTCCACAGCAAATGGGTCCTGTCTGCTTTCACTGTTTAATGAAACGTTCTCTCAAATGCTGGCTATCTGATAAGTTCAGCCTCAGCATCTCCAGTACCAATGGCTTCCTGTCAGCAGTGGTTGATAGTAATCTGTTCCTTCTCGTTTGCATCTCTCCGAATAGCTCTTCCAAGTCTTTACATTTAGCATTAACGAAAGCACTAACGTTCTATGGTAGGCAGTGATGAAACCCCCAAAGTCAATTCTGAAACCAGAAGTGTGCTGAGGTAAGTAGGAATTGATCAGACCCCTCTTCACTCACAAAAGGATTCAGGCAGCTAAATGCATCATTTTACTATTGTCTCAATTCATTCTCAGTGACTCTTAAGGGACAGCCAGAGAAGATGTCTAAACCAGTCATTTGTGCTGGTATTGGGTGATCTTTGAAGAACTGGAGCTTGGGTGATGCAAAGAAGGTGAGGAGTGCAGTCTTGGCAGTCTGTGATTAAATTACTTTTAAAATATTTCCAATGACCAACTGTTTTTCATGAAGCATTTTCAAAATAAAGTCTACAATCACATATTCTGAAATGTTGGCTTTTTTCTTTAATGCTATTTCCTGTATAATATCTCAGATAATAAGCTTTTGTCCATGATGTCCAAAGTATTTCCAAAGCAAGGAACTCCTTGGAAGTAAAAAAATTGCTATCTAATAGAAGAATCCTTATATAAACACTGAAGTCTATCTAGTAAACCCAGTTCATTGTAACCTCCTGTTGCCTAGCTGTGTTTAGACTGAGCCAGGTGATGACTTCAAATACTTTTATCTATGTGTGAGCTGTTCTTCAACAATTAATATAAGAGTTTGCTGTTGCAGTTCTATACAATTTAAGCTGTTCTGACACTAAGCAATAATTGAGGTAATGTTTCATGTAATGTGTACATGTTTCAATCTTGGTGTAAATAGGTATTTGTGATAGCATTTGTAAATGAAGCAGAATGGATGATGCTAATATAACTCGGTCATACTTCTTCTGTAGGAGATTTGCATCAGACTTCTGACAAAAGTTAGAGGAAAAAGGGAAAGCAGTTTTTGTGTAATTTGGCAATATAGACTTTCAGTTTGATAATCAAAAGAAAGCCAAGACAAATAACTAGCTTGTCATTGGCAGTGTCAGTCGGCTTCTGTTTCATTGCCTTATACTGTAATGAAAACTTTTCTTTGAACATCTATCTGCATGAATATCATGTCCTAGTAGCTTCTGAGCTACTGATGAACAACAGAGATAAGTGTGTATTAGCTACCAGCTTGTAGCACCAGCAACAGTTGTAGTTTACTGACTATAAGAGCTGGTTGCTAGTGAGCACCAAATGCTCTGCAGAGGTTACTCTGCTGTTAGACCTGTAAGAGTGTCGGGCTCCTCGTGTGCCTGTACAGCCGTGCACGTGAGACACGGTGCTGTGTCTTCAGCTGGTGTGAACTGCTGTTCATTAAGATCATCTTCACTGGGTCAAATGCCAGCTCCATCTATCCCATGTCCTGTCCCTTAAAGCAGCTTGCAGGGAGTGCTCAGGGAAGAGTACAGTGGGTATGCAGTGGTATTCCCAGAATACTTTCCCAGTTTCCAACAATTTAAGGCTTGGCAATGTCTGAACCTGAGGAGAGTTCTTTGTATTTCATGACTCCTGATGAGTTTTGTTCTTTCAGTAAGGTGTTTAGTTGCTTGGTTTGCAGTGTCCTGGGGCAAGGAGCTCCACAGCTGGACTGTACAGGGTGTGCAAGCGGCTTCCTGTTGGTTTTGAGCTGGCAGGTAATAGGTTCCTTCTGATCCTACTCTTGTGTTGGAAACCAGAGAAAAGTGTTCCTTATTCACCATGTTTTCTGTGATTCATGATTGTGCTGTGTATCACTCCAGCAGACCTGCTTGAGTTACATCAGGTGGGAATCTGTCCCTATGGCCTCTATCACAGTGAGTACAATCCAGGGCAGGTGAGATACATTCAGGTTACAGATAACTTTCACTTTTGTGCAGGCACAGAGAGGAAACTGTGACATCAAAAGGTTGAATGACAGGAGAAGGATATAAAAGGGATTTAAAGCAAGAACGGAGAAGGGTTGCACCTTGCTAGTGCAGCTGAGAAAATTGTTCCAGGTGTAAGGAAGAGCACACAAACTTATTTGGAGGAGATGTGAAGAGCAGTGAAGGAGATGAGAACAAAATGGTGCTCAAAGTTGAGGTGCTTATAGGACTTGTTCCTCCCTGGAAAACAGACCAACAGCAGCAGGTCAAGTATATGGTTTTGTTTTTTTTACAATAGTCACAACTCAATAGGTAATTATATATAATAGTAGCTCACAGCATCATGTCATCTGTTGTTTACAGACAGGTCAGTGACCAGACAGCAGGGTGCTTTTGATTACATTAATCCAATACAAATGTGCTCTATTGCAGGGTACAACTTTTGTGAGACAAGCAGCAAAGCAAAGCACCTGGCTCTCCCTGGGGCAAAATTGTATCTCATTCCTTGGGTAGCAGTTAGAGCTTCCTAAAAAAAAATCCTTCTGCCTGTTTTAGAGCAGCAAGGGATACATCCTGGAGGGGATGGATGGGATTTAAATGGTTCCAGCAATAGTAATGAGTCTGTTCTTATTGAATGTCTATTCAGTTTCTCAGAGAAGAATGTCATGGCTATGGTCTCCTGCTGTTAGTAGAGCAGTACTTAGCCCTGCTTTTGTGGGCATAATTTTATAAAACTTGACAAAATCTCCCTGCCCTTCTCTTGTACTGATCAGCAGAGACAAACCAACTCAGTGCAGTACTCTACACAGTCCTGATCCACTGCTTTTAGGGAGTTTAAGTGGCTTACAGAGGTGCATGCAGCTAGTGCATGTCCTAGGAAAGTCTAACAAGCATGAAATGGAGGGATAAATTTTCTAAGTGGTGCAGCTGTTCCGTGCTGTAGGTGCCTGTATTCCCTTAGAAATATGTTTTCCAAGAGCTCTGTAAATCCATGGTGGCAGGAAGATTTGAGTCCACTGGAGCTCTGGGGCTTTTACACGTGGCAGGCACCTGCCTCAGACCCAGCCAAGCTAAGTTCAATATTGACATGTGCTGACATTCTGCCTCCTCCCTACAGTCAGCCAGAGGGACCCAGGGTTTGAGAGTCTTTTAATATTGGTTTACACAACCATAGCTAGGAAGGAGTGGGTTGTTCTTCTCGTTTAAGGGACGTAATGGAGCTCATAGTGAAAATAATCAGGCTGTACTCAGGGCTGTGTACATGAGAAGAGGATGTTGAGAAGGGGAAAGCACCCAATTTTCAGCATGGTTCTATTTGGACTCTTGTTTGCTGGTTCTAAGGCTAACAGCTCTTGAGGTAAGAGCCTTGAAGTAAGGGCATTGGGAATAGGAGCTGCTTTTAATCTGCTGCTTTGAGACATTACCAGAGGGGTGTTTATGTTTTGTTCATTGTTTGCTTCCCTTGCCTTGCTCTCTTCTGGCATCATGCAGACACAGATCATCTTCATGTATTGCTTTAAAAATAAATGCTTCAACCTCCCATGAAGTGTTATTCCTGATACACTCAACTTGCCATTTGAAATAAGGGTGGCCCAAGTAGGTCATGAATCTTTTGGATGCTTGGGTGATGAATGTTTGAAAGTGTAGAGATCAAACTGAATGGTGTCTTGAGGACCTCAGTGAAGAAAGTAATCTCAGAATGGGAGCAACTGAGAATTATATGTGACAAGTACACATGTTCTCCAAAACAGGCTAATGTGAGGTAGATGAAACCCAAATATATTTAGTTTGGTGGTCCCTTCCTTGTGAATTAGCTCTCATTTGTTCTGCCATGCACCAGGCATTGTTCCTGTTGACTTACAGGCATTTTACATAGATAGTTCCAGCTGTGGAGGACACTTAAAGTGGCTGCACTAGAAGGTGAATTGGTCTGCCAAAGGAACATAGCCCCTTTTTAGGTGCTGTTTACATAATTAAATATTAATTGTTCCTCAAAAATTAGGCCATAGAGCCATGTTTGTGTGCACATGTGTGTACAGGATGTTCCCGGCAGGAACAGGCAGGGACAGCTCTTCTGCCACCATTTGTAGGGTGCAGAACACATGGAAGATGCTCCTTGACAGCTTTAGCCAAATGTTTACAGTGCTCTGGAAGGGGCAGGACAGACTGTCCCAAATAAGTTCAAATTGACTGATCTGTTCGTTTTAAGCGATTACGACTGAGAATATTCTCTCCCCTACGTCACTCGGTGTTCTCTGCTGTCATTATTCATAGAAATTACCTGCAATTAACTGGGCTGGAGTTTTAAAATGATGCCATTCTCTTTTTCCCCGAGGTCTGTGCTTGAGCCCTTTAAACTCTTTTCCATTATTCACTGAAGAACCATCAAACGATCGCAAGGCTTTTTTTTTTAAACTGCTCAGTTATGACAACCTTATGTTTTTTCAGTGTAAAGAAGTAACTCATTGAAATAGGGCTGTCTGTACATTTGCAAGTGTTTTGTCAGTTGCAGTTATGTTGTAGCTTCTGTACTGGGTGAAATAATGAG